ATTCAAACTTCCTCGAACAATACACTATTCAGTTATTTGAAACGACGCTGCCTGCAGTTTTGAGACTGACAAATTCTGAACTGCAGGAGTCTTCTCCACGCGCGCAAATATTTTGTCAGCTGTGGTCGGCTGCTAGAGCAACAATGTTGTTAACTATGGTGTTGAGAAAAAATGCTCGCAGCACTTCTAGTACTATTATTATTACAAGAGCCTATAACAAAGGCAAGAAAACGTTTTGGTCGAGCAATGAAGAACTGGTGTCTTCCATATCAGTATTATAATCAATTTGTTCTGCACCATTTTCACACTGAAGGAAAAGATTGATTTGAAAAAATGGTTGCCTCCATACATACATATGTTGCCTTTAGGCAGCAGCAGTGGCCGCAGTGGTAGACGCTTCGGTCTCCTAATCAGTCGCCGTGCGCTGCGCGGGTACGAATCCCGTCACAAGAGGAATTTTTCTCTTGGCTATGGATGTTGTAATTGTCCGTAGGTGGTAGACCGTCTCTGACTGTCGTACACGGAGGTACCACCCGACGGATCTCGTAAGCGGTACCAGAATGTGTTTATGCTGCATGCACACGTGTTCCCTCGCTAGACTCCGTAGGGCGTCCCCTCCTTTCCCCTGCATTCCCCTATAGCACCACGGTACCACATGAGTGTTTGAGCCTTAGGCCTTCGTGGTAGCTGGAGTATGAAGTCAAAATATTATTAATTTTCAGTTTCCTGAACAGTTGTAGAATGGCAGAACATTGCACGAGATTATAACAGTCGATGGAATTTTCCTAATTGTGGAGGCGCACATCTTAAATTGTTAATTTCTGCGAATGTTTTGCGAATATAAGTATATGAAAAAAATACAATAATTAGATAATAGTAGGTTAATAAGTAAGTCTTTACTTAATCATTTGGTATTATTAATTTATTCACTTTACTTTGGACAATGAAGCCTAACAAAGAAATGTTCATAGATCTTACAAGACAAACAAATATAATGCAATGTAAACAAACAAAAACAAATTCTTCTATTAAAGTTTTATCAGTTTTCACTCAAGTTACATAATGAGCTTCTTGGACAAAATCATAAACAATAATTAAAGAAATACAGTATTCTTCTACAATAAACTATAAGTATAATCATTTTTTATAAGAGTCATACGTAAACACTTTAAACATACAAAAACAAAATTATTTATTTTACTTTGATAAAGCTTAAAAATTAAATTCTCATTAGAACTTGTAGCACAAAAATTAAATGCAATTGAAACAAAGAAAAACCCATTCTTCTATGAAACCTTCACCAGTCTTAAACTTACTGTTTCGATAATCATCATCTTGAATAAAACTAAAAAATATAATGCATAATCAAAACAAAACCATATTCTTATACAGTAAACTATAAATATAGTCTAAGTCTAAACAAACAAAACAAAAAAAATTATATACTTTCAAACAAAACTACTTATCTCTTAACAAATAACATTTAAGTTAATAATTAAACTGCAGTAGAGGAATATTAAACATAAAAAATAAAAGCTTGGACGCCTTGTCTCTTTCAAGTCTGTTTCGATGTGGTGTGTAAATAAGTCCAGCGCCACTAAATATGCGCTTGCTGAGGACACTGGTGGTGTAACTATATAATTCCGAACTACAGGAAACAGAATACCGTATCTTTCCTTGCACACTTTCCACCAAGTTAAAGGGTCGACGTCATTTGCCATTCGTTTTTCTATTGAGTATCATCATGTGACAGTTTTATGAATTAAAATATGAACAGGGTTCCTCTTCACTGTCGCTCCCATCTATTAGTCAATTCATTGATTCTTTTAGATATAGGCGTTTATCTATCGGCGAGAAAGCTTTCGAAGAGGTGGTACAAAACTAAAGAACGTAAGTCCGGGCTTACACAAATAAACGTCCGCATACAGGGGCAGATTGCATATGTGTACCAGTGATATGAATATACAGGGTGTCCGCAAAGCTGGGGTTTTCCTTTACACGACGTGTAGATCTTGAAAACATCTTTCATAGTACCATATACACCAATGTCTTAAGGGAACCGAGATAAAGGGCTCTTCAACACCAAAAATATCTGAGTACCGTCCTGTAGCCGCGACTCGCGACATCCCCAACTGGTACTAGGACACTAGCTCAACCCGGCGACAGAACTGGGTCGGGGGTCGGGGTCAGTGTGTCAGGTCAGTATGCAACCTTCAACCGACGGTTACCGTCACGCGTGTAGAGGTAAACGAACTCGTATAATTGATTGCGTTTCAAAAAACAAAAAGCACTAAAGACGTGGCTAGAGAAGTGCAAGTATCAAAAACTAAAGTGTGGCAAACGATGCGTGAAGAGGGGCTGTATCCGTTTCACGTCCAACGTGTACAAGCCCTTCAACCTGACGATTTTCCAGCAAGAGTGCGGTTTTGTGAGTGGTTGTTGCATCAACATGACAATAATCCGGACTTTTTGAAGTGCATATTGGTGACAGACGAATCTACGTTCACGCGTAATGGGGTGAATAACTTTCCCAACACTCATGTTTGGTCAGTAGAAAATTCGCACGCTGTCCGTCGGACACATTTTCAACAAACATTTTCGGTGAACCTTTGGGCTGGCATGGTGAACGGTATGCTCATTGGACCATTTATTCTCCCAAATAGATTGGACGGGATGCAATACCTAGACTTTTTACGCAACATTTTGCCTTCCTTGTTGATGTGTCATTAAGTGTAAGACAATCAATGTGGTTTCTGCACGATGGTCATATTTCTTACCTCTGTTCGTGGTCTACTGGTCTGCACCACCGCCGGCGTCTGCTCGGTAGCGCATCAGCTGATATTTCATTTTCTGTTGGAGCGGTATGATTTCGGGCAGAGACGTACTTAGCCCTTCTCGTCAACTGGAGAGTGAGTACTTTTTTCGTTATTTTTTTTACTTGGTCGCCCTCGTTTCACTACACATTACTTTTGTTATTTTAAGGGTAGTTGTTTCTGAAAAGGAAAACCCCAACTTTGCGGACACCCTGTATATGTGATGCCAGTTGTTTTTAGTGCGACCCGCGAAAAACCGTGAAATAACCTATATACTGAAGCATATGGCAGATGACTGACGTGTTTCCACAATCGTCGTCAGGTTAGGGGGTTAGCATATAGTTCAGTTAGTTAGTTTCTAATTACATCGATGTTTAGATTGAATGAATATCTCTGTGACGAACATACCATGGATCATTGACCATGGTCCTCAGAATTTGATTTTGGGACATTCGCAAAATGTCCATGTAGGAATCCTTGGAACAGCTCCATAGTTGTGTACAAGTCCAAATATCTGATCATGCATCATGATCTTGTAATTGAGTGATAGTTTTGTGGATATTCCTAATAACCACTAAAATTGCTCTTCGGGGACGTTGTCCTTCCTTTTATTTTTGAATGTGTGCGTCGATTTGAGTCCGGTACCAAGTGTCAAACCTAAGTACACCTGCTCTTCGATGGAAAAAGTGAGTAACTCGATTTTATCGCATATCCTAAGGCATAGCGTTGAGATCTATTGATTGGTATTTTAAAATTGTAAAACTTATTATTAGAGAGGTATCTCAAGTTTTTGGGCGTTTGATTGATCTCAATAATGTATACAATTACAAAACCTAGTGTGTTGAGTTACTTAAAACTTCGCTTGAAAATGTCAAGCGGAAAAAGTATTGGCCTCTGTTTTGATGCAGATCGTGTCTTTTCCGTAAAATATAGTTTTGACTGTATTTCTGAACAACAAAGCTTTAACTCTGAAGACCTTCTACTTTTCTGACTCCAGTTGTCGGATCCACATAATATATTCTATACATATGTAGAAACATTGCCTTCACGATAATAATAAAATTTCAATATATTTTCATACAACCCATCTTTTCAAGCGTGTATCACCATTTTACACTCGTACACTCATATGAATAACACTTTTTCCAGAACAAATTTAATCCAGCATTTTGGGAATTAGGATGAGCTTTTACCGAGTGTCCCTCGTATACACTATACCTGAAGTTTGGCAATGATGTTTACATTTCCACATTCCTTCGCGACAATCATCTGTCATCTGTCGTCGCATCGCTCTTCCGGTTCGCTCATTTTCTCCACGTGAAACAGATGTAGGAGGTTAGAAGAGACTTTGCCAGTTTTTCCCCCAAAATTGCTTTTCGATAATTTTTAATGTGTTCGGGCTTATTGATATAGTGTTAACACCTAACGATGGTTTCCGTCGTTATCAATAAACCCAATGTGTCCGTCCACCTTTCGTTTTGAAACACCATTTTGCTGCAACCTCAGCGACGAGTAAGATGGCTAAAAATTTAAATCCTTCCCGTATTGGTTGCTAGCATCATATTTGTGTTTTTAGCTCCTGAAGATGGCTCCATAGAGAATGCCGAAAGCTCGAGATTACCGTTAAAAGAGTTTATTAAATCCTAAAAAATTTGCCAATTTCCCAATTAACAATTGATTGTATTTTTTGCCCAACTGGTCGTTGGCAATGGCAATGACTACTGCTCGTATATGTATATATATATATATATATATGTATATATATCAGCAAAGAAAGAAAACCCTTTCGATAGGATAAGAAAGAAAGGAAAAACATAATATCTCTCAAGAGGTGCTTGTTCACCAAATATGCCAAATAACTGTCATATTTGCTCACCGACCCAAAATTTCAGATTCGTGTTCAGCGTGAAAAAGTAAATGAGAAAAACATAGTTTCACCCCAAGCACCCACCGACTTTTCATTTTGTAGGCCTGTGTTAATTGAGGAGGAGGAAGTCATTGCAGGCGCCCACCATTTTCATGAAAAGTGTGAATCCTATACCAGAATGGTACTGATTGACCATCTTTCAAAATAAGATTGTAGATGTGGAATATTTTGGTCAAATTTTTGAATAACAATGTTTACTTCCAGTAGGGCATAGCGAATTCATCCACCGTTTTTTGTTAAATTAATCTTTATTGTTCCAGGATAACCAGAAACATACCTCTATGGATACTGAAGAGGAAAATGGAGATGTTGATCATGACTTTATGGAAAATGGTAGAGATTGCCTCACAGGAACACCTGATTCAGCAACGTCACGTAATGACAAGGTAAGAAAACTAGGTACAGCTCTGAGCTTCAATCGAAGAACCTAGTTACTGGAGGTGCTAGGTTTTTGCTTGATTGCAACCTCTAATGCACGACGTTGAGATCTATTGACTGCTATTTGAAAATTGTAGTTGAGCCCATTACGTCCGGAGATATTAAGAGCTAATTTATGAGTAAGCTTAGTTAATATGTATACATCTTTTAAACAGAGATATCTGAATTTCTTGGATGTGCATCCAAGGGAAGTAAGGTACGAATGCTGTCAACCTTAAAAGCTGCTTTCAGACATTATGTCTATTATAGGGGTGTGGTCAGTTGTTAAACACAAGCCCACACACACATACAATGAAAATCACAGAACAAAATTTCAAATGACATTAGTATCATTATTTTGTTTCCATTATATGCCTAGGAAAAGTAGTGGTGCTTCTCAATAAGGTATTGCGGTTGATAACGGTATATCTCAAAATCCTTTTGATGGTACCCGTTGAGACTTTTGAGGGATTTTCCCCGCCCAAGTGGAAATTATTCTCCAAATCATTCCAGTACAGAGGGGAAAACATGAAATCAAATAGGTTGACTCTGCACCTTCCACGCAGAGTTATTGGATTCATCTTAGTACTGCAACTGGATATGCCTATATCCAGTTTATATAAAAACAAAATGTCGGAATTCAATAAAAATTCAACCTGGAAATTCCTATTTAACTTGCTGCGTTTTAAACGACTTCCTGGCCTTTGGGATGTGAGATGCTGTTGGATTCGTCTAGCAGTGCTAGTAACACTGGCTATATTTAAATTTTATAGAAACAAAATGACAGATTCTTACAGAAAAATTCAACCTTGAAATTCTTGTTTCAAGGGCTATAGCTTAAAGGGCTTTATGAATTTTGACATGTGAGGTGTATGTAGATCAATGTTCTAACAGTGCGTATGACACTGGTTAAACTTAAATTTTATAAGATCAAAATGGCGGATGTAAATCTAAAATGTTATGTTTAAAATTTCTATTTCATGGTTTACGGCTTAAACGACTTGATGAATTTTGACATTTGAGCTGATCTCTTGGCAGCACAATTAAACATTAATTCCATTTAGCTACTGCAGTCGGGCTGTTTGCATTTGTAAAAATTCTACCAGCTCAACACTTTCTCCGTTCTTTCCAGGAGCTGGAAGAGTTGATGGCCTCTGCAGCACGAGTCATGGAGGGGGGCGGCCGTGGCGGTGCTAATGGCAGTATCATGCACGCGCTAAGCATCGTCAGTACAGCTACGCCCGCAGCGCAGCCAGGCGCGTCCCCGCCTCCGTTGGCCGCAGCTACGGCTCCAATGGTCGTAGCGCAAGTAGCGTCCACTAGCACTACAGCAGTGGCGGCGGAACTTGTGGCGCCTAAGACGTATTAGAGATGAATTGTAGTGTTTTAGTGATCTGGGAAGAGTTGCAGCAGAGCTTAGGTTGGTGATCGTGCAGGTCTTAATTTGATTGAACAGAGTGAAACAATAATGAGACACGTGAACATCTTTATTTGGCTTCTAGAAGTTTCCTCAATTTGAATAGTCCCTGACCTGTTCCAGAAGTACTCTGAAGAGTCGCTTTTCCTTGTTATGTTCAAGGTAAATCATAAACATCAAGGTCGTATCTCGAGGTGTCCATTCAGCAAATATTCGGTTTCCCAAGCCATCGACACCTTCTGTTTAAACAATTTTAACCAACGTGAGTGAAGGGAGCTTACCTATAATAAAACCATTGACCATACGTATTTGGTTTCCAGAAGTCCATATAGTCTCTGTATTTCTCGAGGTGCTCATCCAGCAAACATCCCTTCTCTAAGCTTCGACATATTTTGTTGTAATAGTATAAATCGTCAATGTGGTACCCAATGTTTAGTGTCGAATAGAGCGATATTTCGAAAATCAGTGAGCGACAAAGTATTCCCAGAACAGTATGAGACACAACCCCACTAACCTTTGAATCGTATTCTGGAAACACTTTGTACGAGCAGAACCTGAGACAAATCCAGAGCTTTACAGTTTGTGATCTATCTAAAAAATACCTGCAAGATCATCTGCCAAGCTTGTAACTCATTTACCTGGAGCACTGCTTTAAAATCGGGTCCATAATGAAGTGGTGACAAAATTGGAGTGCTAACTGTGTTACTGTGTAATCTGATTGAAACCCAATATATTTGGGTCTCGCCCATATCAGACAGTCTTGCAAACTGTACGAAAAAGATATAATCGTAATCATATTTAACTGTTGGATCCAATTCTAAAGCAAACTCTATAGCTATTGTGAGTACATATTCTTGAGGTACACAGCTGTAGCGTGAAACCGTATGGGCCATTTTGCGTACAAATGATAGTGGTATTGAAACATATGTAATTTTATCAAAATTTAGAGACATATCTTTTATCTAAACTTTGTAAAAAAACTGATTTGGTTTTGATTTCACTTCTGTCGTTGTGTACCTTGACAGTCTATTTAACAAGTACTATTATTTAAGCTTAGTGTTTATTATTTTTCGTTTATGTCTTTAGACAAGACGTTATTTAAAATATAAGATAATTGACAAACGTAGCATATCGTCCAGAGGAATCATAAGAATCATATTTTTACATTTATGCTTCTATTGTCATATTATATCCTAGCAGCTCTCTCCAAAAAATATGAACAGGTAAAGTCACTTGCCCATATACCAGCAAATTCTATGAACAATTTTGACTCTTGAAGAAAAACACTATCCTGCAAATACTTGTTTGGAGAGAGGTAACATTTTTGGAATTGCTTTAACGGAATAACTCTAGTGTCTAACCATGTATTTTTTTTTAAATGTTCGAAGACAGATCATCCTCTTTAGTCTGTCAGGTAACATAATAATTTTTTCCGCTTCCGCACCATGTGTTGATCTGTATAAGAAATCATCATCTTTTACTATTGTGCAACACACATGCCGATAAAAGTGAGACAACCCTCGTACCTAGAAACACTTCCTGGAGGTCTGTGATGCGCCGACTCTGAATCCGACTTTAGTTTCCAAGATATCCTAATCTAATCATGCGATTTTTGCCTATATTTGAGGTTAAATAGCATTGCGAATTTTTTCAAAAAAATCACAGATATTATCTAAAGTACAAGCCGTTCGAATTTCGTTGAGTTTCCTTAAATATTTTTTATTTTGCTCAGATATTGCATTTTGCAATTTCCATTTGACTGAATTTCACTATACACGTTACGATTCTGTGTGCTAAGTTGTGAGCAAAAGGCAGAAATCGCTATGTTTGCACGTTTAGGCTAGAATATCTATCTAATTGGAGCCAACTGACATATTTGGAGCACCGTTTCTGAGGAGAGCATCAAAAACCTTCGCGAAAGTACAAGGTGGCCGATACGTAACTGACTGGTTTGTATCTTACCCTTACACCCTGTAAAATCGGGTTACTGGATCGGCTCAATTTATTCGACCTGTGTAATTTTCCGTGCTTTTTCAACAATTTCGTAGCGTCTTAAACACTAGGATTTGTCACACCTTATACTAAATGGAGATATGTATTTTCAGCACGATGTGAAAAATGCTACAGTGTAAATACCACTTTGTATGTAAAGAAAAAAAGTGACATATCATTTTACCCTAAAAAGTTAGCATATCGGAACAATGTACATTTTTGAAAAGAAACTATAGAAATGATTGTCAAAAGTATTGAATATAAGATAAATATGCGCTAGAGCTAGAAACTAATCTTAGTGTTATGTTAATTAATTTGAAATTTGAAGGAGCAATGCTTGCTTGCGATTGTTAGGTCTTGTTTTTGTACATACATAAATATACATATCGTGTTTTCATTATGTGCTTCAAAGGTGACCTATGCCACAGAAACCAACTGATGCTTCATTTACAAAAGACAGTTCATTATTGTATTGTGATTCACAACGCTTCAAACAATTATTTTAATCATTGATGTGTAATTTGCTGCCATTGGGTTAGCGACTGCAACATTTTCTGTAACACGGCTGATACAGAGGACTATGGTACAGTTATCATGTTCAACTTTTTTGCGCCAGGACCTATACGGTACTGATTATATCCAATAACAATGAAACAGCGCTGTATATGGTTGATTGGACGGAGAAAAGCATCAATATTAAAATGTATCAAACAAAAGGTCACATTAAAATTTTATATCTATTTATGGTGATACCCTAAACATCGACTTCCCCTTTCTTTCCGGGCCGTCACCCTTATCCATTTTAAAGCAGACCGAAATATGTTACCCTGACACGGGGCCTCTGCATCGAGTCAGAAGGATGATCAATACGCTTAGCGTAGCTTCTGACGTTGATATTTGAAGATGCGAATAAACATGGTTAAAGTTGTATAGTATGTTGTCTCAAGTACTATACAAATTACAGTAATCGATTATAAAAAATCTGAGACAATTATGGGCTTGTTCCAATAGTCACTTTCAAACTAGTGCAGGACGAATTGCGTTGCACCAGAGAACTGTATGGCTTGTTGTCGCAAGTATAGAATTCATTGAAGTAAAAAATAAAAGTATCAAGTTTCCGTATGCTAGACATGGAATTTACTGTTTTTCGAAGGACTGTATTTTTTTTACTTTGAAAACGAGATGGCAGATTTAACAAGAGATGAATAATGCGGAATGTTCTAAGCGAATAGTAGGAAGCTTAGCCTTCTTCGAGCATTTTGGCTTTAGAAAAGCCAGTAGCTCAGGAATAAACTAAGTGGAATGTTAAGAACGCTGAGCTGTTGGTTAACTTGAAATGATATATAAGATTAATATTACAAATACCATGATAGAAATTAATTTATTAAAGTCATCCACACTTGACTATGTAACTTTCATTTCTGATATTCTTGGAACTCCCACTTCTCTTACATTTATTTCAAAGTAATCGTAATCGTCTCTCATTTTTCGAATATGTGTAATAAACATCAGTAGTTAAGATTTAGGTTTGATATACAAAAAAAATCAAGAGTCAGAAAAGCACATGACAGCAACAAAATCCAGCTACACAGCTACTTATTTTGAATGAAAGACCTTGTATATTATTAAAAAATCAGTGAAATAAGGTGAGGGAACAATGGACGGCCATGCTCCTCGGCGACGACGAAAGGATTATAATACGAGTTTGCAAGAAAACGTAGGTTTTCAGGTAAATAATAATGATAATAGTAATATTTATTTACTCTAAAATACAGGGAACATGAAACGAGTAAATCAATATAATACTCGTATATCCATAGGGGGACAATGCCTGTGCATGGATCATATGTATGTCGAATTGCAAAAGATAAAAGAAGAACAGAGAAAAAAAATTATTGGTAAGAACGATAGAGCATTTATTATATAATATTCGAGATTATTCTATTAATGTGATTTCTCCCAATCGTGTTAATGAATTTTTTTTATTTTTTTAAACCTAATGTATTGCGTAATGGTTTTAAATTATCTGGTAAATGTTCGTACAATTTTGTAGCTAAATACGGGTGACATCGTTTCGTTAAAGATTTATTTGGTTTAGGAACATTTTTTACGCGTAATTTATATCTGGTGCTATGACTATTATGATTATGTCGCGTTCTCTAATAATTTTGTCATAATGAGTGACGGTATGTAGGAAGTAAATTTGTTGAGTATTATATACTTGTGCATCGTTATACAAGTCATCAGTTGGGTATAATTTTGATTTGCCAAACATTGATTTTAAAATTGTTCTTTGTACCACATCTAAATCGTTAAGGTATGTTGTGCATGCTAAAGCTTGATATATTATTCGCTACTATTTTTTTTAATTTTTGTTTCTCTCTGAATTGACATACGGAATGTTTCCTGATTGAATGTCAAACGGAGGCAGTCTTTGAGCCTTCTTATGAGGATGTGTCCTAAACGGCTTAGCCTCTGAGATACGGGTTCGTAAAGTTTTTAATATAGACAGTCAATGGCACGCTAATGACCCTTCTCGAATTAAAAAGAAATAATATCCATTAATTCATGAGTAGATTTGATCCCATGAATGTGTTTAGTACGACGCGCGGTTTTTCCCTAAAATAAGATATTTCTCTGCATGATGATGTCATATTAACTATGCTTTTATGATCATGCAGAGAAACGGATTCACGAAAACCGTGCATCGGATTCCAAGAAATTAGGTGTTCAGATTGGCTAAAAAATGATTGGGGAATTCAAGAAGCATTTTAATTCTGAACGAAATCAGTGGCGTACTAACAGTGTCTGTCAAAATAGGCAGGTGAAATTCCGTACGAAGTCCTGTGGTAGAAATTAAAAAAGCGTATCTTAACGCACAGTTCATGCATGCCAAATTCATCAAATTATCTAAAGTCGTATTAATAGATATCTATTTTAAATTATTTATTTTTTAATGTTTCACCGTCTTGTATCTTAAAAGCTAAGACATTTAGGACATACGTTCATATCAAGTTTTCTTCATAAAATGGACCCAGAAATATCTCCTTTAAGTATTGGCGCTCAGTTTGGGAACACCCAGTATAAGTATTTGCTGTGGTAAAAAAATATTTCATTTCCATCTTATTCAAAATATCGGTAGTTTTCCTGAGCCAATCGTTACTCGTAAGGCCAATAAAAAAAATGCCAGACTTATTCTAAACAAAAATATAAATACTTTTTAGTTATAGGGAAAAGCCGAGTACATAATAATTTTTTTACCCATTTGAAGGTTGGTCAACCTGATTTTTTTTCTCATTTCACCATAAAGCTCGTTGGTGACATGTTATTTTTCGTGTAGTTTAAGTAATATAAGCAAACATATTAATCATAATGTTAGTTTTCAGTTAAACGATTGATGTATTATATCGGTTTCGTATGGAGCGTTGTCCTTTGCAGTACTGATGAAATCTGCAATAAAATGTGTTTTAGGAATTACATTATAAAGCAAAATGTTTTTGAATAATCCCATTTCTCCATTTATTCCGTAAATAAAGGAGTATATTTGTTATAGGGACCTTCCATGATCCACCGGCCTTACATGGTACTATATTTAAAATAAGCAAGTTGATATCTACTCCTGGTACAGTTTTAAGTGAAATGTTTCGATCGAACTGATCAATCAGTTATACCGTAACGCCAAATTTCAATAATTGTTTACCGTCAACCGTAAGTAATCGCTGCAGTTCCACGAAGGTGCATGGACACCCTTCGTATAGAAACAAGCGTCCTTAACTTGTCATATTAATCAATACACATTTCGCGTTCGATCTGAATTAGTACGCTCGCAGCTTATGCGTCAGCCAAATGTGATTTCGAATTCGTATATAACTAATTTATTATACTGCCAGTTCCTCAGTGTCATGAATCCTGAACTATTTATCAACGCGCAACGCTATCCAAATGGTGTTTAATATTATATTATGTTGACTTGCTGGATGTGAAAATTAAAATTAAATTATTTGAAAATCATCGATTATCCATAAGGGTAGCATTTGTGATTCATGCAACAAAGAATTTATTGTCATGTCATCAGTTTGTCTATTCAGGGTGGTCTATCGTTCAAGCACCAAACAGCAAGTAAACTCGTCAGAAGTATGACGAGATGCAAGATTCTGAAATTTAATTATTTCTCTATATGTCATAATAATATCCATATGAATTTTGGAAATCAAAATTTCTCGAGGATGGTATATACGGTTAAATTCTGCTTTTCAATAAGGTAAGCAAAAAGTGCAAGTAACAATCCTACAAACTTTCTGTTCCATGCCACAACCCTCTTGACAAAACTGTTCTATGTAGAATGTCTTATAGAAATTATGGTAGAGATTATCTTTAAGAGAAATAGCTATTATCCATTTGTATTAAACAGCCGGGCCTCGAGAAACTTGAATTCCAATATTCAACCTCACCATCGAATAGCTCGTTCTAAGATCTTTAAAAGTGGGATACGTTCTAGACGAAAAATGCATTGCATAGTACGCCAAAGCTCCTGGTATGGTGAGCACTCCCCTGAGTAGCGAGACTAATGTGTGGTGGGCTAGACATTTTAAGCTAGCCATTAGATTGTGCAATATAATTTTGAAATGAAAATACATATTTTGAAAATGAACAAAATGAAAGCATTGCATTTTTGAATGCAGAGAACGAGATTGTATGCTATTACCAGCGCCATCTGGATACTGTACTCAAAAATAAGATACATTTGATAACATTAATAACAAAAAATGGTATCCTCGTTAGCGGGGCGTTTTGATCCAATACCTTCATTCTTACGAGCCTAGACCATGATTTAGTTTTGACCCAGTTACAACAGACCACCCTCTATACCGGCTTGCTGAAGTGTACAATTTTATAGATTCTGGCGTCAACGCTATTGTTAATAACATGTTCGTTCGGGCATTCAATTTCATTATTGTAAATTGTACAAGTATAAAACGACAAATGACCAATGTCCCTTATATGCTATACAATACAATCAATGGGAAAATACTGTATAAAATTTGCCTTGTAAACAAAATGTTATAGAGCTTTAATTTCAAATACTGTTGCTGGTAATGTTATTTATCTATAGGTAAGATTTCTCCTATCATGTACTAGTCATTGGTATTATATGTCCTCCATTATTGAGTCTACTCGTTTTATTTCCCTACCCCTGTGCGCAAAAATGCAGTGTATCAAGCATATTCATCTTCCTTAATTCACGTCTGCATAATGTTGTCCTGACCTGTGGAGAAATGGCTGTTGTGGTGACTGCGTGCCCACTGCAATTTCCAGATTTGACATCAACTACTCTTCCTCTGGATATCCCAAGCGCTTAGCTTCAAACAATTCTCTGAAGAACATCGATGACTTCAAAGACAATATCCGAAGTACAGTAGTGCTTCATTAAAAAAAAATCCTAAAATGTTGAGTGCTTCGAAATCCTATTTGCAGTACTGCACATGCTATGTTGACGTTCTAAGTCAGAATGTAAGCTGAATATCTTACTATAGCCTAACATGTCTCTTAAAATGACAAATTCTAGTAAATATAGGAAGCAGTATCCTCTAAGCTTTAATAAGTTTGTACTAAAGGTAGCTGCAAGGGGTGTTACGAAACATGCAGATCATCAACTAAATGTCTTTTAGTCGAGAGTGTGCAAAGCTACCTCTTAATGAAGCTGTGAACTTTATGATTACTTTAATCTACGTATTCTGTTTCCTTAATGACATGTCAGGCTTGTAATAAACGGCTAATTAGGGAAATAGAGCAAAACAAATGACTATCATAAACAGAGAAAGGGTTGTAATATCATATTTGGGCTTCCCCAAGACATCCGTTATTTTTTGGAAAGGTGCTGTCATGCTACTTAAATGGACATAGTGAAACGGTAGGTAGTACGAATCGAGATCTTTTCATATCTGATAATAAAAAAGTTCTACTGTCATTTCACGGACATGCATCTAAACTCGCCAAATCTATAATAACACATCGATCAGGTACTGTTTAACCAATTTTGGTAAAATTTGGCACAACAACAAATTTACCTGGGAGTCACGTAGAACTAAACCGAAAAAATAAGGGCCGGACTCAATTATTTCCACTCCTTGTTTTTTATCAACAAGCCTTTTAGGCTAAATATTGCAATATCTGACCATGGACAGGAAAGGCCAATGAATGGTGCTAATTAAGAAGCAAAATAGATCGATTGTGTACCTTTTTTACTAACAAAAATGTATTTATTCATACATCTTTTTCTTAGCAGTTTATTGACAAAAAACTTAACAATTCTTTTATTTTTTCATTTTGTCAACATTTTACGAAATAATGCTTAAAGCTGAACTACAGATGTTTTGGGAACTCAAAATTTCAGGTTTCGCATTCAGTTTTTCTTTTCGTTAACAAGTGAACGTGCTGCAAGTTATATTCTGAATTTATTATTATTTTGTAGAAAATTAATTCAGTCTAATCAAATTAAATGTAGTCATACATCATAGTAGTGAGAAAACATACAATTAGATTACTATTTTGGGTCGCTGACACGAAATTTAAAGTGATTCTAGACGTCCTTGGTTTCGTTTTCAATCATATTATAGATCGAAAAAATGCAGGAATATGCGACTTTACCATACGTAAGAGCCGTTCTTGTTATCGGTACACTCAGGAGATAGGCTTCCATCCACATTACATTATGTGCATTTTCTTTCGTGCCAGTACTTTAACTCGTGATTGTTGCTCCTGTACTGGCAACAAATTATAGCAATCTGTATTTTTGGCAAATAAATTATTATTATTATTTCGACAACGGGACATGCCGATTCTGGATTCAATTTCAGCGAACCCAAAAAGTATTCTATCCACTGTTTTTATGAGCAAATTTCTGTCAGTCACAGGCAGTTACTGGCAGCTGTGCAAACAATTAATTAAGTAATACAAAATTGCTTGGTACATTATATCAAAATAGTTTTCATGATGAAAGTTTAAATGGTTTCATTTTAATAAAATTTTGTATAAGTACTTAACGAAGCATAATAAGTAAGTGATAAAAATTTCAAAATGATTGCCCTGCTTTAAAGCCATTTGACCTTTAATAATGTGTGGATGCACCCTGATGTGCTACGCATTCTCCAACGCGCCTAGGCATGCTTCTGATCAGGTGGTCAATGTTCTCCTGTGGTATCTCATTCCAGGCAACCACCAACTCCTCTCAAAGTGCTTCTAGAGTCTGAGGAGGACGTTGCAAATTGAGCAATCTCCTACCCATCTTATCCCACACGAGCTCAATTGGGGATAAGTCGGAAGATCCTGGTGGACATGGTAACAATGTGACATCATTATGTTGAATGAAGTCTATTGTGACTCTTGCAACATGTGGTCGGGCATTATCTTGTTGGAAAGTTGGATCTGCCAGGGTGTCAAGATATGGTAAAAGATGGGGTTCTAGAACTTCGTGGATATAACGCTGTGCGTTCATGTTACCTCTGATGAAGATTAAAGATGACCTGGAACCATAAGCTATAGCACCCCAAACCATAACTCCAACAGTGTGATGAACATGTCTTTCAACAAAAAACTGTGGATTCCTCCTTTCACCACGTCAACTTCTAACCCTGGCACGACCATCGTGCATGCCTAAACAAAATCGAGACTCATCACTAAAGACAACACTGTTCCATTCCTGATCCCAGAGTGACCGTGGTCTGCACCACTCAAGGCGATTACGTCGGTGTTCTCGAGTTAAAGGGAGGACTCAGTGTGGCCGGTATGAAAACAAGCCAAAACTTCTCATTCGTCGGTAAACACTTCGCGTGCCAATAGGTCTTCCGTGTTCTGCAAACGATTCATTTGCAATGGACCTGGTAGTGGAGAAACGGTCCCTTAAGGCCAATAATCTTAGGCGGCGATCTTCACGGTCTGTTATTCTACGGCGGCGTCCAGTGCCCCTTGCTCTTTGCGTACGGCGTTCTCGAAGCCATGCTTGACAACACCTAACCACAGTGTCTACAGTTCTTTGCACTCTAACTGCAATTGCCCGAAAATAAAGTCCTGCTTCCCGAAGTCCCACTATATGGCCCCTATCAAACTCACTAAGTTGACGAAATCGTACAGGTCTCCGTACTCTAGGCATCGTAACCGATCGTAAAGGATGTCAAGAACCAAAATCCGCCAACGTTGATTCTTTACTGCGGCTGAAATGTTCATTTTTAGAGCGTTAGTGAATTAAAAAAAAGCAGTATAAAAACCGGAATGTCCAACTGATAAGGCTGAAAATTTTTTCACTTGTTATTTACAGTAAGATAAATACATTCACCAACTTTTATTAAAATAAAACCATTTAAACTGGGTGTTCCGACTTATATGTCACTTAGTATATTACTGTCTAGCAATACGATCGCTAAGGCTATATTATTTTTCATCCTTCCCTCTCTCTCTCCCTCTCTCTCGCTCTCTAGATATCCAATTCTGTGTCTGGGAAATGTCCCTGAACCCTTTTATATTGCGGTAAACATCTCGAACATCTGTTGAGTTCCCTCTTTTATACGCGTGCATAAGGTTTTTCGTCGATACTTATTTATGCCGAACGATGTACATATTTTGCTCTATTTTATAGATGAGACTGTATCGTAAATATACCAACTTGGCATAAAATAACAGCATGGATGGGGAAGCCGAAGTTGTACTCTATTCTCTAATTCATAAAAAGGTGAATGCAATTCCAGCTTGATAGTGATTCTAATGTTGAAAATTGGTGAATGTCGTCATTACCTCAAATCCTATATTTTATTTAGTTTTTTGGTGGATGCTGTCACTAAACAACAACGACATCCACGAAGGGATATGTGGCCAACAAGGGAACATTCGACCTTGAAATCAACTTATACTTTAAGATCACTGAATTCATCAACATTTTTATATCCATTTTAGTACTTGATGATTTTTAAAAGCCCAGCTTTGGCATTTTTTTTAATTCAAACATTTTGGAACATAATCAGCATTACTGGGAAACAAAAGATACCATTATCAGTCACGCAACAATTGTCGACTTCGATAAATAAGCTTCGCGGCATTGTGCTCACAATAAAAACGAAAGTTTAAACGAAAGGATACACAATAGCAATAAAAATTCTACCTAACACTCGTAGTAAGATAATTGCTGCTATCAGTATCTATTTGAATTTCTGTTAACCTCCTTGAAAGCAAGTAACATCGCACAATCTGCAATTATCCTGTTTACCAGTTTGATTCACGTTTTATTTATACAGGGTGGCGCATCGAAAACGAAACAGACGCATTTACTAGCAGCTCAGTTTTTTTTTGAAAAACGCTCATACTCGTCGATTTTGTTTTCGAGGGGGACCCAAGTTTGGTCCTGGGAGGGGGTGACACCAATCCTAAAATCTAAAATGGAAAGGGGGGTCGAGTGATACCTTATTTTAAAGGTATATGATGATGTAAAGTTAGTGTACTTCAGTTCAGTAGTTTTGAAGATTTATTGATTTAAAGCTTAAATAAAACTAATACATCATCATTAGTGGAGATCAATACATTTGGCAGCAAAGTAATTTAGAAATGAAGAATGAACTGACCCGTTAGGCAAGTAAATGTTGAAAATGGCTACCATGACTCCCCATGCAATAATAAAGATTTTGCTCAAAACGTTGCCGCACATTTTGCAATATTTGAGGAGTAATTGGAAGGCACTTATTCACAATTCTTTGCGCAGGTCTTCTAACGATGTTGGCTGAGTAGCATAGATTTTGCTTTTTAGACGACCCCCCATAAAGAAATCCAAAGGTGATAAATCTGGCGATCTTGGGGGCCATTCAGTGGCATCCCTTCTACCAATCCATCGATCTGGAAACGTCTGATCTAAATATTGTCGAACACGTAATGCGTAATGTAGAACATCAGCCTATTCGCAATGTACCGCCGATCATTCTGATTTTCAATTATGGCTTGTTAATGCAGGATCTATGGCGTCTTCCAGAAATTCCAAATACATTTCACTGGTCAAATTTCCAGGTAAGAAAATAGGACCAACTAAATGATCGCCAAAAATACCAGCCCAAACATTTAATTTTTGTGGCTGCTGTGTATGAACCTCATGATAACTTCTGGGATTAGAATCGGACCAATATCGGCAGTTA